CTTACGGATTTGGAACGACATGAGGGTATAGAGTAATTAATGACAGAATTTTCATTTTTGGGTGAACTATCCCTTTAATTTACATACTCTCTTAGTATCACACTTGCTCTGAAACCTAATTTAGCAAAGATTTATCTGCATTGATCTACGTCTCTGTCCAGCTTTTGAAAAGTTGTTTTATAGGACTGATCAGAAATGTAATCAGTTCCATCTTGCGTCCATTTTTTGGCTGGTATTTTTAGGACACAATCATTGTGTGGATTGAGTGGAACAGTTAAACATGGGCTGTAATGGTGTATATTGCATTGCTACGTTGTGTAAGAAACGCATGCGATGATGATGACGATGATATTTGGTAACTAGCTATATGCATTTCAGTGAACACAGAAAGCTAGGAAAACTTCCAGTTTAGCATTTTTCTTCCCCCAGTAATACTGTATCACTGTCTTCTGTGACATAGTGCAAACTTGCATAACATTTGCTCATTTTTATTCCTAATGAATGAAGAAAGAACTGGAAGTTATGGATCGACTGGTAATGCACCTTCTACTCCTTTTCCTGAAAGATTCATGTTAAATATTAGGCAAGGACTATTTCATAGTGATCAGTAACTTGATAACTTTTTAGTCTATTTCTCTCACAACCCATTTGTAAGACTGATTCACTAGAGTAAAATGTATTTTTCAGTTCTTTAAGAGAAGAGGTCTGTGGAAAGTCCAGCTGTGGAGCGGATCATGATTGTAACGGAACCTTTCCAGTGCTTTTAATTTTACCTAAATATTTATTAGAAAAATGCCCTATTTACATTTCTTCTGTCCTTTTCATTTTCCAGAGGACCACAATTTGACAAATGCAGACTCGTTTTGCTCTCTTTTCTGAAATGATAGTTATTAGCCAAAAAATATTTAAAGCTGCAGTCCGTAACTTTTTTTGGTTAAAAATGATTCGAAATCAATATTTGAGCAAGTACATAACCAGCCAGTGTTCGAAACTATCGCCTTACTTTAGCCCGATTCACAACGGTCAGCTTATAATAATGATTTCTAATTTGAGTGGTACGGGTAGGTTTTTGCGTGAGATTTGAGCATGCCGCTGCGTCATTACGTCACGTCTGTAAACACAAAGAAGTTGTCCTGGCTACTAGGCTATCGCATGTGAGGATCCTGCAGGTGGCGGATCGTTTATAGCCTTTTCTCACAGCAGACAGAATAATTAAATGTATCATCTTGATGGTGGATTATAATCCATAAAGGATTATGTGTTTATGAAACACATGTGAATGAAATTAAATTATATTCCAGTTTTAAATGTGCTTCTGATTACAGATAGCCTGGGATTACACAAGATTTGTATTTTAAAGACAACCAGTTTGAAGGGAGCATAATTTGCTTTTTGGGTTAAAATTATTTCTTAATATGAAATTTGAGTGGTATGACAATTAGAGATTAGACTTTACAGAAATTGAAATCTACTCGCTTATACACACTATACTCATAGTCACGTAATGCTGATGTTGTTAACATTAACAATTTGAGAATGAAGTATGACAATAATAATAATTTGCATGGTTTGATGTGATATGAGCTAATTTAGATTAAATCACCATTGGTAGTGCGATTTGTAATGCTTTTTCCTCAGTTGGTCAGAACAAACGTGGCAGACTTGTTACTTGTTCAGATGACAATATCCGGTGAAAATGCTTCTATGAGTCATATATTCCAAGACGTAGGCTAGAATCTGTGAGTGCAAAGTACAATATCACACCGGTGCGGTGACTGACTGCCACACATACTCCTCAAACCATTAGATTCATCTGTGCTGGAGCAGTGCCGCCGCACAACCCACGCAAGGAAGATAATTCAGCTAACAGCTGCAATTGCAGGTTTTCAAACAGAGATGGCGACAAAGAGGCAAAACTTAAGGACTGCAGCTTTAATTCCAATAACTCGACTGGTATTTCCGAACAGCTGTTTAGTTCTGTCTAGTGCAATCATTCTGTTGATCACTGCCGTCCTCAGCTCTTAAGTGTCAGCTGATATGTTTGGTTTGCGAGTCTGGCACTCAAAATGATTTTCAGCTGCAGTCAGATGGCCAGTTATTTGTTTTTCATTCCCTATTTCCTTCCTTCCTTTTGTTTTACCATGCTTTAGAGTGATCTAATAAATTTGGTATCAAGCTGCGGTCCACCTTGAAAATGCCAGTTTAAGATGTCTCTTCATTTTCCGATGCTTGTATTAAGATTGTAATTACTATTAAAAGAATATTATATTAAGCGTATATACATATTATTTACAGTTATAGTTCTGTATGGTTGAAAAGTTTTGTTTCAGATAAAATTTAACTATGAAACCTTGCATTTGTGTCCTCCAGTCTTTTACTCTTGCTTTCTGTAAGCTTTCCAAGGTAGGAAAAACAACTGTACAATAGAGGTATCACTACGCACACTGAGGATAAATGTTTTCTTCCGGTTTAATTCAATGAATGTCAGCTCAGGAATGTTTTTCCTCTTTGATTAGCACATTCTCAAGGGGAGGCAAGAACAAAAAGCAGCTGGAACTATGAAAAACGTGACATAATTTCACACAATCGTAATTAATTCAAAGCTGATTCAGAGGTGGAAAATAATGCAAGTTCCTCTTAGACAAGATGAGTAAGGCACCAGTGGTCTGATAGCCTAGTGTTTCACTTCTCTCCATCTCCTTTTGGTTATCAGGTTTGCACAAATTTGTAAACAAGGAAGCCGTCGTCTCGGACTCTCTTCCTCTCTTTCTTTCAGCTCTTCATCTTTCTCTTCACAGTCTACTAATCTCCACATACCACTACAAGGTTCAGCCACTATCTTGCTTTGTTGTAGTGTCTCCATCTTCCTATCAGCTCCATGAGCAGTTTATTTTTTCCCTTGTTTTTCCACTTGTATCTCAGTATCCACTCGATTAGAGACCTACTGTGTACTACATTGCCCTTTTGCTCCTTTAGATTACAGCTAGTCTGCGTTGCTCTTTCCCTCCCTCCGCTTGCCTACCCTCCTTTTCCCCTAGAAGCAATACAGTGTTTCGGTGCTCTTTTGTCCTCGAGTTGCCTACACCATGCCTTTACTACACAAAAAGGTCCTTGTGTAGTTGGTGGCCACCTACTGGTTAACTTTAGCTTTTTATAATATTATGACTTCATATCTTAAAACGGTGACTTCATCAAGCATTGTGACTTTCTGTCTCGATCTAATTTGACTTTTAATTTGACTTCCTCCCCCCTATTTGCCGCTTATTACACAGTTACTAAAATAATGAAACATGATTTGAGATGGAATTATTTTATTGAAGACTAATAAGCGAGCGTTCGCCTAGAAAAATAGTCCGTTACAATGTTGAAGTCAATTTGCCTAATGACGAGATAAACACTACAATGTATTATTATTAATCTGCAATCCAGTTTGCTTGTTCTATAGACATACAACATATTGTTACAATGTAATGTCTTCGTTTGAATGGTCTCTTTTCCAGTTTCTCTCTTTTTTTTTAGCGGTTTCTTGTTCTTCCGAGCCATGTTTTCGTTTTCTTCCTTTAAGAAATGGATAGAAGCTCAGGAGCCTCAAGTTAAAATTTTTATTTTCACGATAAAACTAATGCTGAAATCGTCCGACTTTAGGTAACAGTTTTAAGTGGTAGGATCAATTACCGCGGAGTGATACGAGAGACGTACAAATAGCACCGGTTCCTAGATGAACGGTGATTCAGAAATACTGTAACTACAGTTGACTAAGAAGTAATTATTGGTATTAGAGAAAGCCATAGTTTTCCTTTTTTAAACTAAAACATAAAATCATGCTATGAAAGTATCTGCGCCTCGTATTGTTAAAAATAGCGCTTAACACGTGCTCTCTCACCACAAGGTGGCGTGAACAAGCCACTTGCACTTCAAGATGATTTCCTAAGAGATGCATAGTTAATATTGATGCATTTCTTAACTTGTAATATTGATGCTTTTCATTTCACTTTATTTCACTGTGTGTGTGTCATTGTTTACCATGAATTGGATCAGTGTTATTTTAGTATCACTGAGATACTATTATAGTTTTTATTAATATTTGACTTTTTTTTTTCCTTTTTAATTTTATCTAGTATATTAGTAATTTTGTTGTGGCTTGTCATTTATATTAGTTTTGACTTTTAAAAATATGTCTATATAGTTTTTTTTAGGTACATCAGGTCAAAATGAAAGAAAATGCTAAATGCTTCCTTTGCAACTATAGCTGAAATAAAAAATAAAGTTGTGTGTGAGGTTTTTTTTTAAATTATTTTGTTTGAGTTCATGCTTATGTCAAGTAAGAAAACAAATTTATGGTTTCAGTTTTAGTTAATTATAATAATCCTGGTATGGATTTTTTTTTGTTCCTGTATACACATCACCAAATGTATATTAAGAAACACCTGATGGCCTTGAGTGTTCTTTTTTTAAGGCATTTGTTGGCATTGGTTATATTTCACCTGTTTTACAGGAAGACACCACCTTTATACCTTTTACAAGTCAGGGGGGTGGGGGAGGAACTTGAGGAAAGCGTGGGAGGTGTGTGTGTTTTACTTTCCTGTAGCTATGCATGAAAGAAGCCGTATGTGTACTATAAACAACGATGTGTGAGAGCACACCTGTCAGTCGTCCAGGTGAACTCAGGTAAAACAGCCTAAAGCAGTGATGGCTGGTTTGGATTTGAGCCTCTTACTCATGTTGTCTGTGCTGGCAGAGGTCAGAGAAGTTTCTCTGGCACAGTTCAGCCACCAAGGAGCCATGGGCCCTGGAAACATCATCATTGGAGGTCTTTTTCCCATCCATGAGGCAGCGAACTACACTGGCTCAAACAGCTTCTCTTCTCCTCAGCGTCCAAACTGCAGCAGGTGAGTGTTCATTGTGGAGAATCCAGCCATGAATGTCACACAAAAGATGTTTTTATGTTGAAGTTAAATGTTACAGTTAGTGGCATGAAGTTACTGGTGTTCTTATTATTTAATATAATAATTATCATTTATGGAGTATTTCTTAATTCCATGAATTAAATGTTGAATCATTTATTGTAATCTATGGGTAATTATTCAGTCTCATTGTTCAAATTCATATGGACCATTAATATGAAATCTTTTATTAAAATAAATGTTTTGGGCTGACAGGATTTTTGAATATTTTTGTAAAAAAAAAAAAAAAAAGTGTCTTATTCTTACCAAGGCTGCAATTATTTACAGTATAAAACAATACTATTAAATACATTAAAAACAGTACAGTTCATAATAACTTTTATATTTTAATATATTTTAAAATGTAATTTATTCCTGTGATGCTGAATTTTCAGCAGCCATTACTCCAGTCTTCATTGTCACATGACCCTTTAGAAATCATTCTAATATGTTTTGATGCTCAAGAAACAGCAAGAAGTGCTGCTTAATATTTTTTGGAAACCATGACGCATGTTTTTCAGGATTCTTTGATGAATTGAAAGTTCAGAACAGCCTTTATTTGAAATGAATCAAATAGATTGATTATTTGAAATCTTTTGTAACATTATAAATGTCATTTCAATTTAATGTGTCCTTGCTGAATATAATTATATATATATATATATATATATATATATATATATATATATACACACATAATTATGTAATTATATAGTGTATTTAAGATGTATCTCTTTGACAAATGTTTTTTATTTGTCCGATTAAACTAAATTGTCAAAATGCATACATAGTATTTTATTTTTAAACTTATTGCCTAGTGTTTTTTTTGTATATACCAACAACGACATTTAAATCTCACACAATTTTTTTCCTAATAACATATTGGATGATGCATTCTCATCATTACACTGTGAATAATGCTTTTCCCCCCCTTTTTTTATCATTATACTATGATTCTTATGCTGAAGAATATTGGCATCTTGGCAAGAATCAACCATTCTATGTCATTTTGTTTTGTTCTCATTAGATATTACACAAAAGGTCTAAATCAGGCTCTAGCTATGATTCATGCTGTGGAAATGGCAAACCGATCCCCCATGTTGAGCAGTTTGAACTTAACTCTCGGATATCGCATCTATGACACATGTTCTGATGTCACGACTGCGCTTTGGGCCGTCCAAGATCTCACACGGCCGTACTCAGACTGTGATTCACCAACAAACTCTTCTCAACCTGTCCAGCCAATAATGGCAGTAATTGGGACCTCTTCTTCTGAGGTCTCCATCGCAATTGCCAGGGAACTCAACCTTCTGCTGATTCCACAGGTAGGATCTCCACCTGAAATTAACATGAAGTAATTCATAAAAATATGGTTTTGCAGCTATGCCATTGAAGAACCATTTTTGGTTCCTCAAAGAACTTTTCAGTAAACAGTTCTTAAAAGAACCATTTTTTTCTTAGTGTGAAGTAATAATCTAGACCCTTTTTTTCCACTATATTTTGTCCACTGGAAAGTTTCCATGGATATTAAAGGTTCTTCGTGCAACTATAGATGTCATTAAAAGACCTTGATGAATTTAACTTAAATATATTGAATTATAATATATTTAACCTTTAATTGCTGTCTGTTCATCTTTTGTGCAGATAAGTTATGCATCTACAGCTATGATTCTAAGTGACAAAAGTCGTTTTCCTGCTTTCATGAGGACTGTCCCAAATGATGAGTACCAAACCCATGCCATGGTACAACTTCTGAAGGACAATAAATGGACCTGGGTTGGCATTATCATTACAGATGGAGACTATGGGCGCTCTGCCATGGAAAGTTTTGTTAAGCACACCGAAAGCGAGGGAATTTGTGTGGCCTTTAAGGCGATCCTACCCGACTCACTAACAGACCAACAAAAATTAAACACCCACATCAACAAGACTGTGGACACCATTGAAAAAAATACTAAGGTTAATGTGCTGGTCTCATTTGCTAAGTCATCTCAAATGAAGTTGCTATTCCAGGGCCTGCGTAGTAGGAACGTTCCAAATAATAAAGTATGGGTGGCCAGTGATAACTGGTCAACCGCTAAAAATATTCTAAAAGACGTAAACCTCTCAGATATCGGAAATATACTGGGCTTCACCTTCAAGAGTGGAAATGTTACAGCTTTTCATCAATACCTTAAGGATCTAAAGTTTGAAAGGGAAGCTAAGATGAACAATTCATTCCTGGAGGAATTTTTAAAACTGCCTGATATAGGAAATGCTGCAAACGCAGTACAGAAACTGATTAAAAACACATATTTAGACATAGTCTTCAGCGTTCAGATGGCCATCAGTGCTATTTCTAATGCTGTGGTTGAACTATGTGTAAAAAGACAATGCAAGACCCCTTCAGCTATCCAACCCTGGGAGGTATTTTACCACATTTTGAGACACTTGCTTTCAAATTCAGTATTTTTTATTTGATTTGATTTATTTATTTACTTATTTGCTTTGTCACAATCAACATACTATAAGTCATCGCATGTTTGCATTTCAGCTCTTAAAACAGCTGAGGGCCGTCACTTTTGAGAAAGAGGGAGTCATGTACAATTTTGACACTAATGGCGACATTAATTTGGGCTATGATGTCTGCCTATGGGATGAATTTGAAGGACATGACATAATAGCAGAATATTATCCATCTAACAGCAGTTTCACTTTTACAAGGAAGAATCTAAGTGATATTGAGGTAATGTATTCTTTTTAATCGTCATTTTTATCAAGACTTTTCTGCTAATAAAAAAGTCAGCTATTCAATTTTCTAATTGACTTGACAGTACAACAAAAATATCTACCTTGGAGGCTAGCATTGCGGTATTGTTTGGATGTTCGTTTTTACAGGGAATGTTTTTATATTAATTCTTTACAGTGTATATTATTATTATTATTATTAACATTTTTATTATTATCGGCCCCAAGTGGACATGATGAAAAAAAATATAAGAATGGAGTAAAAATTGTATTTCAGTGCTTTTGCGTTCTCTCACGAATGTTTTACATTCCCCAAGAAAGTTTGTTTACTGGCAAAACTTTTGAGTACTTTTTTAGGTTTTGCTGACGAATGCAGAGTTTCTTTGGGAAGCAAAAACTATTTTGCAAGGAAATGCACAGCTTTTGCGAGAGAACACAACCTTTTTCAGAAGAGCAGTTGTTTTGCTAGCAAACGCAGAGTTTTTTGGGGGAACACAAATCTACGAATAAACACAAAAGCATTGAAATATATTTCCCCCCTCTTATCTCATGTTTGTGTCCATCACCATGTCCCTTTAGGGGCTCTGTAGTACTACATTAGGACCGCCGTGTACAGTGTAGAACAGGGGTGTCCAAACTCGGTCCTGGAGGGCCATTGTCCTGCAATGTTTAGCTTCAACCCCAATTAAACACACCTGAATCATCTAATCAAGGTCTTAGGCTACTAGGTGTACTAGAAACTTCCAGGAAGGTGTGTTGAGGCAAGTTGGAGCTAAACTCTGCAGGACACCGGCCCTCCAGGACCGAGTTTGAACACCCATGGTGTTGTTGCGTTCCACAGTGCTTCTTTTTAAACATTTCGTGCATGAACCTCGCATTTCTAAGATGCAAATCTTCCATTCCTCAGCTCTGCATATTGCGTTTTCTATAAAGCATTCCCTAAAGCAATTTTTCACTCGTTTCTTCTCAGAATGTGGTATCTAAGTGTTCAGACAGCTGTCATCCAGGGGAGTACAAAAAAACAGCAGAGGGTCAGCACACTTGCTGTTATGCGTGTCTTGCCTGCGCCGAAAACCAATACTCCAACCACACAGGCAAGTTCCTTGGTGCCACTTTACATTGAAGATAAAAATCTCTGATAGTAATTTGTAATTTTATTCCAACATTCAATCAAATACAATGTTTTTAAATGGCCTTTTCAGATGCAGACGCTTGTTCCAAGTGCGACACTGAGAGCATGTGGTCAAACGCTAATAGCTCAGAATGTCATCCCAAGCTTTATGAGTACTTTGAGTGGAATAGTGGGTTCGCTATCGTCCTGTTGACGCTGGCTGCCCTCGGCATCCTACTCCTCTTCTCAATGTCCGTACTGTTCTTCTGGCAAAGGAACTCTCTGGTGGTTAAGGCTGCAGGTGGACCACTTTGTCATCTGATCCTTTTCTCCCTGCTGGGCAGTTTTATCAGTGTCATTTTCTTTGTGGGTGAACCGAGCAATGAGACGTGTAGGGTGAGGCAGGTCATCTTTGGCCTGAGCTTCACGCTGTGTGTTTCATGTATCTTAGTGAAGTCCTTGAAGATCCTTCTGGCGTTCCAGATGAACCTAGAGCTGAAGGAGCTTCTTCGCAAGCTCTACAAGCCGTATGTGATCGTTTGCATCTGCACGGGGCTTCAGGTCACCATTTGCGTTCTTTGGCTGACCTTGAACAGGCCTTTTAAAGGCAAAGTGGTGCAGCCAAAATCCATTCTCCTGGAATGCAAAGAGGGTTCAAGTGTGATGTTTGGGTTAATGCTGGGTTACATAGCTTTGCTGGCACTTATATGTTTCACATTTGCTTATAAAGGCAGGAAACTTCCGCAGAAGTATAACGAAGCAAAGTTCATCACATTTGGTATGCTCATCTACCTCATGGCCTGGGTCATTTTTATCCCAGTGCATGTCACCACCAGTGGCAAATATGTACCGGCTGTGGAGGTGGTTGTCATTCTCATTTCAAACTACGGGATCCTGAGCTGCCACTTTTTGCCAAAATGTTACATAATTATTTTCAAGAAGGAGTATAATACCAAAGATGCATTCTTGAACAATGTTTATGAATACGCCAGAAAGAGCGCTGAGAACATCAGGGGCTTGACTGGAACTGATCCACACAGTAAAACTGAGAATTCAGTCTACGTCATATCCAATCCGTCACTTGTGCCTGAGGAGAAACAAGTTTCTGTACCAAAAATAGATAATGTGCCTTAAAATAGTTGCAAGAATTTTAGATCACAAGTCAAAGCAACCATTCTGACAAAATGTTGTCTTCATTTGACATGAAACTTAAATAGACTAAGTTTTGTATTTCACATACAATAATCTTTAAAAAGACCAAACTTCATGATGATCATTCTAAATGATGAATACTTTCATTTAACTGTGGAAAACAGATCAAATGTGTATGTTTGTATATGTATATGTATTTGAAATTAACATTGTCTTATTCATGTTATTAGTTCATAATACCTAATGTTAGAAAATTCAACCTTATTCTAACATGAATCCTGTTTAATTTAGCATATCCTCCATCATCTGGAAAGAAAAAAAGTTTTTGTAAAATGTATTTATGTGTATATAATATGTATAGTTTGTATGTTTAATTGTAGCAAAATTGCAATAAAGTTTACTTTGTTAACATGAAAGCATTCTCGCAAACTTAACTTTATAAATGCATTAAAAGTTAATTGATTTTCATTACATTAGTTTATTATAATAAATATTTACTGTTAAATATTATTAATATTAAAATAATAATACAATTCATTAGTATGTAGAAACTAGCATTATAGATTCATAAATGCTGTAAAGCTATTATTGATTGGGGAGCTCGACGTAACGTTTACCCATTTCATTTTGCATACAATCATCTGGAAGAAAATGGTTTACTTTATTAAAATGAATTGTCGTGAAGCTGGGACTTTTCCTGTAAATTTACAGACAACATCTTCCACATCCTGTCGAGAATGAAACTATGTCTTTTCTGTTCGCTCTTCTTTTTCTCTTTGGTGTGACAGTGTCTCTCTTGGCTAACACATCACTGATACTATGAGAGAGACATAGTGAGAGTGCCAGAGGCTTGTGACTGGATCAAGAACAGCCCCAAACTCTCATCTCAGACAGGGAAATAGGTCATGTTTCGTATGTCATGCTGAAATCTTTGTTTCCTCAATCACCAAAATGCCTAGTAATTGGCTATTGTGCAAATTACTTGGCACTACGTCCATAAGGGTTTCAGTTAATAGAAAAAAAGTGTTGTTGTTATGCAGTGTTAAGTTGAAGTGTTAAATTCAGTGGTCTATAATAGCTCACTTTGAATGTACATATTTTTTAAAAGTTTTTTTGAGGGGGTATTTGCATGTTCTTCTTTGAAGGTTTGTGTAAATGCAAAATGTTTAGGGTTTATCTCTCACCCTGAGCATAATATTACAGGCTTCAGTATCAAATGTCACCCAGTGTGAGAAAGGTCTTGAAATATGAGAGATGGGTGAAATATGCAATGGCGAAGAAATGGTACTTTTGCAGCGGTTTAAAAAATGTGACAGATGATTAATCAATTCTTTATACTTGAAAGAAACGTCATCCAGTTTGACCACAAAAGCAGACAGTGGAGTCATTATTGCCAGTGGCATGCAGTCTTCAGGTGTTGTTTTGTGGTATTCCCCTCTTTGAACTAGCATGTCCAGTTTTGTCACCTAAACAGACACTATTCCATACAAAAATAATATTTACTCAGATGGTTAGATATGTACATTGAAATTCATCCTCAAGATGCTAATGACGTTGGATGATAATGCTGCTTACATCCTCTTGTCAAATATTTATTGAGATGATTGAGATGATCTAAATACACAATATTCTATGTGAAATGGCACCCAGGTTTATATGTAGTTATTTGTCCACAAGCAAATGAATTCTAAGCCTAAGTCTGTTGGTTCCATTCATACTCTGATGCTGGGTCAAGTGGCATTTCAATTCATCCCTAAGTGGTATTCAGCTCTGGGCTTTTGTGCTAGTCAGTTATGGGTTTTGCACACCAGACTCAAACTATTTATCTGATCTTGCTTTGTTCACAAGAAAAAAAAAACTCCTGCAACAACAGTAAAACCATTGCTCATTGTCACAGTACACGTCATTGTAATTGTCTAGCACTGATATTGATCTTCACTGGAAATAGCAAAACCTGTAAATTAGGTGTTGTTCACATACCTTTTGCAGTAGTGTTCCAAGCCACATGTATGTAAACTTCCTAGTCATGCCTTTATTAGCGCACAACAACTGAAGATGAAGATCTCTGCTGAACTTAAAAGAAACAAAACAAAACAGACAAATGACTCGTTTAGCCTCCTTTCACCTGTCAACATCTTGCCAGTCACACTTGCACAATTCCCTCACTTGATAGGCTAAACCAGGGGTGCCCAAACTCGGTCCTGGAGGGCCGGTGTCCTGCAGAGTTTAGCTCCAACCCTAATCAAACACACCTGAACCAGCTAATCAAGCTCTTACTAGGCATGCTAGAAACTTCCCGGCAGGTGTTGAGGCAAGTTAGAGCTAAACTCTGCAAGACACTGGCCCTCCAGGACCGAGTTTGGGCACCCCTGGGCTAAACCATGACAAGAGTAATTCCAATGTCATGAATCAAACAGCCTTGGTTTGACGTTTGTCTTCTTACCGGTGAATATTTTGAAATAGTATTTGTGGGCTTTACGCCACACGGAAATATTATATGAACGTTTATATAACACTTATAAAACAAATATGGTGTTCCAGTCACGTTATAGCCTACTCCACGATAAAATTAAGACTTTTGACCTGTTCACCATTTCACATAGCCTATCGTCCAGCTGAAGGCACTTCGCTTAAAAATGTTAAAAATGTTATGGTATTTTACCATAACATCTAATGATATATTTTATTTGGTATTTTAATTATATAGCCTATTATTTTATAATTAATCCAGTTCCATCTCCGTGTTTTAATGTTGGTACCTCTGTTTACGTGTTTATTTGGTATTCACCATTATGATTTCGCCGTTCATTAGTTGGAGTTTCTGCGTTCCACTGCACTGCATTTTAATTCATTTTTATGTAAACATACATTAGATGGACGTCTTTAACCGCTGAGCTTGAATTGGCAGTAAACAGTAGGTCAGCTGTTTAAAACGCATCTCTCGAGTCCCTGCAGTTCTTGGATTTGAGGCTGCGCTGAAACCGTTGTGTGAGGGACTTTGTGATTTTACCCCTTAAAGGGATAGTTCAGCCAAAAATGAAAATTATGTCATTTAATAACCCTCAAGAAGTTTTAAACTAGTAGTATGAGTTTCTTTCCTCGGCTGAACACAAAAGATATTTTGAAGAACGTGGGTAACCTAACAGATTCTGGTCTCTGTTGACAGCCATAGTATTTCCCCCCCACTATTTTAGTCAATGGGGACCAACAACTGTTTGGTTACCCACATTCTTCAAAATATCTTCTATGATCAACAGAAGAAAAAAAGTCATACATGTTTGGAACAATTTGAGGGTCAGTAAATGATTCCAATTTAATTTTTTTTGGTGAACTATCCTTTAATACCAAAGAAGTTGAACTCTTGCTAGTGTTGGCTCAAACATTTTGACATTGACAAGCACTGTTGCAAACCAGCCTTGCATAATTAAATCACAGTAAACTTATTTAAATGTGTAACAGAACATTTTATTTGTCTACATCATTTCACACAATATCAACATTTGTCTTTGAGTAAAGCAATGATCTCCTCTGTACTGTAGGTTTGTACCAATGATAACTTAAAACACAGATGTTTTTTTTCTGATGCGAAAAAAAAAAAAACCCTAACTTAGAAAACATTGTACAAACATGAGAATTTTTACAAAACTATACAATCGAATGTGCTTGATAAAGTTACATTTTACAATCTTGATTTTTTTCTTTGTAAATATACTGACTTTCCATCATTATAACTCTTATTTGGATCAATCAAGCTTGTTTCAAAGAAAAATGGGTGCAAGTCATTTACGGGCAGAACATGAGGAAGTAAATAATCACACCAAAAACAGAAAACTGAGAGGAACTTTCTGTCAGACAAGTTTCATGACTAAGGCAATCTCCTGCAAGTAAGTTCATTTGAAGCATTAAAAAAAAGGATATATCATTACAAGAATTAGAACATAAGTTCCTTACAGGAAATTAGAGCACAAGTAGGAACCATATGAGGAAAAGCTCTTTGAATGAAGAATGTTATGAAAGACGCTTTTCTTACATTAGTATTTCACTGCACACCAAGACCATTTCACTAAAAACATCCTCCTTCTACCCTCAATGTATATATAATATACACATTTTATTAAATCTTAACACTTTCTACCATGTGAACATTAATCAAATTAAAGCCAGTCAGCGCAAAAAGAAACACTTTCCAGGTGAGATGAGAAACAACCCAATGATATGCATACATACAAACAACTCCATCTTGGTGATCGCATGACCACACTTAAATAATTGCATGCAACGCTTGTAACGCTTTAACAGCATTAGCAAAGCGAGGGCTGAGAGGAAGCGGGCTGTGCGCTGGTCTCTGATCAGCCGGACCCCACAGACCGGTTCCTTCTAAAAAGCACAATAAATACGGCTCTAAATCTCCCAGGTCAGCAGTTTGCTGCTAGTTAACAAAAAGTCAGAATAAATAGTGTAACTAGGCTTGACATGCCCTCAGGATGCATTGTGAACAAACATGGCATGACATAAACAGTGTGCTGGCACACAAAGTCAGGGAATTCATTCAATGCAAATGTATCAATGCAAATACATTAGTTACTTTGTTTGGCCGTGTTATTTCTGCCACGCCGAAAATACATGTTTGCATAGAAGCATTTACTTCACAAGAAAAGAGAACTGTCAGAGCTAAAGGCTGGGTGTTTGTCACACACTTCGTTTTCTGATTGAAGAGGTAGTTTCACATTTCTCAAGGGATATGGAGTAAAGTTTACTTTACAGGACACCAGTGCCAATGTCTAATAATCATAATAACATCAACAACAATAATAATAAAAGCAAGATGCTTTTTGTAAATCTCAACAGGACTTAAACTACAGACTCTGAGCTTTACTCTCCTCGGTCCATCTCACAGATTTTCTCTCTCGATAATGGAGCTTGGAATATGGGCAGGATGGAAATGGAAGATTTAGTGGGTTGGGTTGGGTTTGGGGGGGGCGGCGGGGTGCAAGCGTAATCTCTGCTGTGAGTAGCGGGTATGGGCCTCCGTGTCTTGGAGCGAGGCTGGAGCTGAGGTCCTGCTCTGCGGAGAAGGAGGGAGAGAAGACTCCAGGCAGGAAGGAGGAAGCAAGGCCTGAAGCTTGGCCAGTAGCACAGCGATACAGGTTAGAGCTGGAAGCCTTCCATCGGTCCCTCAGACTGCTGGAAAATGTACTGGCCCTGATTCTGATCCACCTGCGGAACGATGCTGGCGTCCTCCTCCTCCACACCAAAGTAGTGCTCGATCAGGTCAAAGGCCTTCTGGTAGATCTCCTGGTTCTCGTGGCTTTGCAGGAACTCAATCTTGTCCAAGCCTGTGTGGGAACATCAGTAAAACAATTATATAAACAAATGAACAAACAGCACTGTAAACACCGTCTGCACGTATGGAAAGCATATGACAATTCTGACTATTAAAAAATATATATTATAAAATGTGTTGATTTGCTGATGTTTTTTGTGCATGTTTATTTTTGTTTAATAATAATAAATGTTATCTTTAATAGTACTATTATTATCATTAATAATATTCTTCAAACCAACCCAGACAAATCCGAAATTGTGAAAATCACATGAAAAACAAAACAGCTAAAAAATACACGATTCCTGCACCTTTTAAGCAGTGAATTGTTAGTACTTGTCCAATTGTTTAAGATCACTGGATAAGGATTTTCTAAAGATAGAATTGCTGACAAATGAGCAGTTTTGAACAAATATACTTAAGAGCGGACCATAACTAGAAATATTTATAATGACTGCAATGACTTTTCCAGACCTGGAAAAACCAAACATTACATTAAATGCATGAGATAATTCAAGGTATTAGGTGAGGCATACCTACCATAAGCCTCTTCGATGAGAGCACAGTAAGGATTGATGCCTGTTCCGTTCTGTTTGGACTCCTGTTCTCCCAGTCTGAGGATGTTCTCCAAGCCGTTTAGAGCCACCTGCACAATCTTGGAGTCCATCACTGTCAGCAGGTCACACATGGGCTTTATGGTGTTGAGAGAAACCAAGTATCTGCATGTGAAGCACAATTATCAACTTCTGTTTTGCTAAACATCCACCTAAATAGCACCCTATAATGCAGTTTTCTCTCCTAGAATGTAGGCGTATATGTCGGGGGGGAATCTTCCTGGTGTGTCAGATAAAAATTCCACTTCAAAAGTAAATTGGATATTTACTTTTTTTTTTTACGGAATTTAAGGTATGATTATTAGTGCTAATTTTTAAAGGTTTTTATTATTGTTTAAGTGCACTTTATGTGTTTATGTGTTAAAACCACATCCCTGGAAAAAGCGAGGTGTGCTCTGATTGGACAGCTATCCAGTGCGTTCTGATTGGCCGAATACCTCAAGCGTGAGACGGAAATGTTACACCCCTCACATACTGTTGATGACGTGTCCCGGCTGGAGCGACGAGACAAAAGCATTAAAACCCATTACAAACGAGGCATTTGTTGCATCCAGTGGGGACATAATTACTGATTATAATGACTTATACTGTCTTTTTACGTGTTGCGTTGCATCGCGCCGCGTAAACATAAAACCCTGTCTGCATTTGTGATCAGAGAAATGACAAACTACAAGTGCTATTCTACACTGCCCAAAACTCGCGTTTGAATCATCAGTGGCAAATCCTTTAAATGAAAACGTACTTACAGACTGTGAGTCAGAACTGCCGGCATTTTAGTCTAACGTTACTCTCCCAGGATCAGTAAACAGTCCTCCATAAAATGTGCCGGCGTTATGCAAATCTTCCCACATAGTGAGGTAGATATGTGGGGGTGTGTTCGAACAAGCCGTTTTAGGTAGGCGTGGCTGACTCGTAACTTTTATAAAGAATATCTCTTTGGATTTGAGACTTTAGTCTTTGCAAATGTAAAGATCTTCTTTATGCACCAAGAGCTTGTAACACTCCAAAGAGAAAGGAAAAAATGAAATCGCATCATATGACCCCTTTAAAGATGGTCTGACTATTACTGCCATCTACAGGCCAGAAATGTGTCATATGCTTTGATCCCACTCTGTGCTTTAATGACTGTTATCAGTCTAACCAAAATCCCTGTGTAAATGATGTTAAGCTCTTCAAGTCTGTCTTAAAACAGATTATGGGTAAATGATAACCTAAGGCAGTATGAAGGTGGTTTAGCATGCATTATAAAAGATT